GTATGCTCTCGAATTTTCAGTTCTAGGGACATGTCTGATCTTTACTTGCACAAATTTCTTGATCAATTTTTGCACCTTTCTAAGATAAGGGTCATCTTCTCACCCTTAGTCTCGTAAGCACCCTCTATCTATTTCACCACGAGTTGTGAGTCACTACAGATCTCCAGTTGCTCGGCTTCCATTAAATAAACTAAGCTGAGCCCTGCTATAACTGCCTCATACTCGACTTTGTTGTTTGAATTTAAATCCAAATCTTAGAGCGTATTCAACATCAATCTCATCGGGGGAAGTCAAAATCAAACCAGCTCCACTGCCCTGAGCATTGACAGCTCCATCTACTAAAAGTTTTCACGTGGGGAGGTCAAGTACTAACTACACTGTCTCTACAGGTGTCCCAGTTGTGAATTCTACAATGAAATCTGCCAGTATCTACCCCTTAATGGTTGTTCTTGGCTTGTATCTGATGTCAAACTCGCTAAGTTCAATGGCCCATTTAACCAGTCTCCCCGAAGATTCTGGCTTGTGCAACACCTGCTTCATAGGTTGATTTGTTGGGACTTCGATAATATGAGCTTTGTAAGTAGGGTCTAAGTCTCCTCGCGGCTGTCAGTAAGGCTAAAACGAGTTTTTCCATTTTAGGATACCTTTTTTCTGCCCCCCTCAGAGCTCGGTTGCAATAGTAAACTGGTTGCTGAGCTCTGTCCTTCTCCCTTACTAGCGCTGCGCTGGTTGAAAACTCTGAGACAGCCAGGTAAAGGGTAAGTACTTCTCCTTCCAACGGACTTACTAAGACAGGTGGGGAGCTCAAGTATTCTTTCAATGCTTTGAAGGCTTCTTCACACTGAGCATCCTATTTAAAGGCTTTCTTTAAGACTTGAAAGAAGGGCTAACACTTGTCGCTTGATCTAAAAATGAAGCGACTCAGGGCAGCTATTCTCCCGGTTAAACACTGTATTCCTCTCATGTTGGTAGGATGCTGCATATCCAACACTGCTTTTACCTTTTTTGGGTTAACCTCTATCCCTGTGCTATTAACTATGAAGCCCATAAATTTTTCTGCTGACACCCCAAAGGCACACTTAACTGAGTTGAGCTTCATCTTGTATTCTCTTAGGACCTAAAATGACTTTGCTAGGTGTTCAATGTAGAGCTCTGCCTTCAGTGACTTGACCAACATGTCATCAATATAGCCCTCCATGGAGGTCCCAATTTTTTTTTTTGAAACATCTTATTCAACAGGCGCTGGTAAGTGGCTCTTGCATTTTTTAACCCGAAAGGCATCACTTGATAGCAGTATGTCCCTTTCTCAGTTATGAATGAGGTCTTCTCTTGGTCACTGGGATCCATCCTAATCTGATTGTACCCAAAGAAGGCATCAATGAAGCTGAGGAACTCATGTCTCACAGTGGCATCTATAATCAAATCTATTCGGGATAAAGGAAAACTATCTTTCGGACAAGCACAATTGAGGTCTGTAAAGTCAATGCAAAGACGTCATTTGCCATTTGTCTTTTTGACTAGGACTACATTGGCTAGCCAGACTGGGTAATCCACTTATCGAATGGCTTTTGCGTGAAGGAGCTTGTTGATCTCTTCGTTGATGGCTTTCTGACGCTCCGGGACGAAGCTTCTCCTCTTCTGCTTAACGGGCTTACAGGCTGGATTTACGCTGAGCTTGTGAGTGATAACAGAGGGATCAATCCCTTTCATGTCCTCTTGCTTCCATGCAAAAACTTCCTTGTTCCTTTTCAGGAATTGGATGAAGAGATCCTTAATCTCCTTGCTCAGCTTGGATCCAACGTAAACAAGATGCTTTGGCTCCTCATCAATTTGAACAGGTTCTAGCTCTTCTGATGGTGTTAGCCTGGTCTCGAGTTCATCCCTCATGTCAATCTCTAATTGGATGCTCTCAACCTCCTTATTTCTCATGGATGCCATATAGCATTCCCGTGCTACACACTGGTCTCCTCAGACCACTCCAACTCTATTTTCTGTTGAAAACTTTACTACAAGGTGATAGACAGAGGGAATAGCCCTTATAGAATTGAGCGAGGGTCTTCCAAGGAGCATGTTGTATGTTAAAGGTGCATCAACCACTAAGAATTTTACAGTTGTTGTAGTCTAACAAGGTGGGTCACCTAAGGTTAAGATGAATTGGATTGACCCCAAGGGCAACACCTTTTCTCCTGAGAATCATAATAGGTGAGCACTTATTGGTTCAAGTTGTTCTCTTCCTATATCCATTTTGTCGAAAGCAAAAGTAAAAATGATGTCTGCCGAGCTTTTATTGTCAATCAAAACACGATGGACAGTCCTATTGGCCACCACAGCTCTTACCACCAAAGGATCATCATGGGGTGTTGGCAGTCCTCCAGATCTGAATCTAAAAAAGTGATAGCCATGTCTAAGCGTGGAGCCTTAGACATAGTATATACTTTGGGAGTTTCTGTAGCTTTGATTTTTTGCAAGTGGGCCTTTCTGGCAGAGCTGGACTCTCCTCCTCCAGTAAATTCTCCAGATATCACTCTGATCTCCCCTATAAATTATTGGTGTGGCTCTGATGCTTGACATTGAGGGGGTGGAGGTGGGAGAGCTCAATTTTGATTATCATTGGCCACATAGCGTCGCAGTTGCCCTCGCTGGATTAGAAATTATATTTCCTTCTTTAATTGGATACAGTCGTTGGTGTGATGAACATGGTCTCTGTGGAAGTCACAATACTTCGTAGGATCCCTTTTTGTCGAGTCTGCTTTCATCCGGGGTGGCCACCTTAAGAACTTCTCATTTTGCACCTGATACAGTATCTAAGACACCATAGCAGTCAGAGGGGTGAGCTGCCGAGGTGCATACCTCGGTTATAGTTCTGGTTGTTGAGGGCCTAGGCGATCCCTGACATTTCCTCTTCTCTTCCAGGAACGCTCTCTGTCTCTTCTTGGAGACCTGCCTCGTTTTCTTTCTTTTCTGGGACTTCGTTCTCTCTTTTTTTCCTCCTTACCTTTCTCCTTTCTTGACGAAGAGCTCCCGACCTTGGAGAGGAGCGTTTCCTCACCATTTATGTACTTTTCTACTTTGGCAAATACTTCCGCCATACTAGCCTGGGGGTTTTTTGAGATGAAAAATATCAGATCTTTTGACTGAACTCCCAAACCTGCTATGAAGGCTATAATAGCGAATTTTTCGTCTGGGACATCCACCTTCAAGGATTCTGAGTTGAACCGTTGGACATAAAATCGTAGGTTCTCATCAGGTCCCTGTTTTATATTTAACAAATGGTAGCTCGATTTTCTATAGGTCCGAGCTCCGATGAAGTGGGACACAAACAAGATTGACAGCTCTTTAAAAGAGAAAATCGAGGCTGGGGGGAGTCTGTTGAACCATGCTAAGGCTGAGCCCTTCAGGGTGATAGCAAAGGCCCTGCATCTCACTGGATCTTGATATCCATGCAACTCTATTTGGTTTTTGTAGATGTTGAGGTGGTCCACGGGATCTTTTGTCCCATCGAAAACATCCACCTGCGGCATTCTGAATTTAGGTGGGAGAGGGACGTGCAGTACCCCAGCAGTGAATGAGGATTCGGTTTGCTGGACCAAGACATCCATAGTGATTGGGGTCTTGCTCTTCACTGCCTCCTTCATCTGGCTGAGCTCTTGCTGGATGTTTTTGAAACGTTGCTCCTAGTGGTGTTTTCTTCTCTCCTATTGATAAGGGAAAAAGTCGTTTCTCTCCCATTCCTTATACTGACTTTGCACTTCCTCGTTGTCACCATTCCTAGGGGGTAGGCGAGGCTCTTGCCCCAAGGTTTGACTATTCTCTCCCACCTTATTAACTTCTCTGAGGGGATCGAGATGCGGTTGCTCTCTTGGTGGTGGATTGTTCTGGCCTTCTTGGGTCGATCGTGCCTCCTGTGGGCGTTGTAGGAGCTTTAAGAGCTCTTCGTTCTGCTTTATCAGGCACTCATTGACAAGACGAAGGGCTTCCATCTTATTATTCATGGGAAGGCCCCCCCATGGGTGAATCTACCTCTCGCACATTGTCAGGTTATCTACTATTAGCGACTTCCTGTAGATCTTGCATCCGTAGAGGATTGGTCTGATTTCGGCTCATTTTTAGTGTCGTACCATCAGTCACTAAAAGATCAGCTTTATTTGTAATAGGAACAATCCTTCCCATAGACGGCGCCAAACTGATGGCGTTAACACACTTTTATGAAAAAAATGGACTAGAATTATGTTATGTTACTGGGATGATGCAATAATGTAAAGGGCTTGAGAGATTGACACAGTAGAATTATAGTGGTTCATAAGTTTGGGAGTTCGGCTATTTCACTCTTCAATGGAGGCTCTTGCTCTTTTTGTTTCAATAATGATGATTACAAGATTGCAATGACTATTTTATGCCGCTAGGGTTCCTCTCCCCTGTTAGGGGGTATTACATTGCATTTATAAGGCCATTTCCTGCTAAGAAGGATCTTAGCCGAGATTTTTGCCCTTATTTCGTAGGCTTCTCCTTAATTCTGGGAGAAGATTTTGGTTGGTTAAGATTGGGTGTCTTGATTACAGCTTCCTAAGGTTTTAGGATCCTCTCATGGTTATCCAACTGTTACCTTACCTCAAGATACACTCGGCCCTTACCCTCTGACCTATGCTAATGTGTCGGACCTCTTGGTCCGAGTTGACCTCCTGAGCTTAGCACTTGTAATTTATTTTAGGTATCATCAGTTGCAATGATCTGTGACCTGTTTTGGTGCATGTTTAAATATTCACTTCTCTTTAATTTGTATGAGGCATATGAAGTAATATGTATGGGTAGGCAAAGTAGACTGACCTTGTGTCTTGCTGTGATGGTAACTTGGTGTATTTTATGGTAAATCAAATATCTTGTCTAGATTCACCCCAACTTATGGCCATCATATTTGGGGAAAAAATGTCATGAAATGATAGATTACTCGATAAATAACTACTTATGTATTTTATTTTGGCACTTTAATTGCAGTCGGAATAATGCCCAAGGTGAAGACAAACCGGGTCCAATACCCTGAAGGTTGGGAGCTGATTGAGCCTACTCTCCGTGAACTACAAGCAAAGATGAGAGAAGGTTTTCATTTGTTTCTTATTATTCACAATTTCCTTTGCTTTTTACTCTGTCTCTAGATCTTGCATAACTAATGGTTTTATCTTCGTTATTAATTTGTTGCCAGCCGAAAACGATCCACATGATGGCAAAAGAAAATGCGAGACGTTGTGGCCTATTTTCAAAATAGCTCATCAGAAGAGCCGCTACGTCTTTGAACTTTACCACCGGAGGAAGGAAATATCCAAGGAATTGTATGAGTTCTGCTTGGACCAAGGCTATGCTGATCCTAATCTAATTGCTAAGTGGAAAAAGGTCTATCTCACCTCCTTGTTTGAAATTTCCTGCTTGGTGTTCTCTCCTTCACTTTCCTCTTTGTGTTGTTCTAATTAGGTTTTAAACCATATAGGTATTTAGGGTTTAACAACTGTTATTATTCTCTCCCAAGTTCATGGTAGCAAATTCAGAATATTGCAATTAATCTGCAAAATGTCCTGAATTTCTGCAAGAATGTGACATGAATATGAGTGCAATGGACATACCCAGTGCACGAGCTCCTGCCATTGCGGGGTTTGGGAAGAGTGAAATGTACGCAGTTTTACCCCAATAAGGAGAGAGTCGGTTTTTCTTTTTTTAATAAGAAGGTTAGATGAATATGAGTGTAATGACTAATGCATTTTTAATACAAACAAGTGCCTGATAAAATCAGGATCTGACCTGGATCTCGATAACAGAAGAACAATATGGGGGTGTGGTGCACTTTTAAGACTTGAAGTAGTTATTTATCAGTGGAAAATGTATAGTGAAACTGCGTGATCTGTGCTTAATGAATAAGGTGTCAAGCATCAGTCACAGTTGCTTGTGTTTGAACTTTGAATTGCAGCCTGGTTATGAACGACTTTGCTGTTTAACATGCATGCAACCACGCGATCACAACTTTCAAACCACATGCGTCTGCCGAGTTCCAAAGCACTTGAGGGAGGAGAAAGTAATAGAATGTGTACATTGCGGTTGTAGAGGCGGTGCGAGTGGAGATTGATCAGCTATGTTCCAATGAACAGGCCACGGATGATCCGACTCGTATCCTAGTATTTTGACTCCTAAATATAATTGGCCTGTCTGTCTTATCAAAAAATATATAATGTTGAGTCATATGTGTTGGAGGTTTGAGTTCTCTTCTCGAAAGCTTTTTGGACTTGGCTACTGGTGTTGCCATGTATTTAGTTAGGTCTTTGTTACTGGCAAACGTTTGTCATGAATATTGATCTTGTGTTAATGCATGTTCAAAAATTTCTGACTCTTAAACATTCCAAGTTTCCGTTGAGGTTTTGACTGGATTTATTGTCTTCTCGACAAGTGTACTGGTTTTTGATGTCTTGATGTTTCAGTATAAATTTGAGTACACTGATGCTGCATGAAGAGTGAAACTGATTGATTCCAGTAGACAGATTTCTTCTAGTTGGGTGGTGGAAGCTGGGCTTCTTACCGTCATGGAGTCACCTTTGCCTTAATTTATTAGAGGGTTTTTTGTTTACTCGGTTATTGATGTACTAGTTATTGTCTGTGTTTGAAGGCACGAAGTAATAAAAAAAATTGTTAATCATAATTATATTTATATTCACACCTAACATCAAATCACAAATATAAAAGAGAAAAAATAAATTTAAGCATTGGTTGTAAGTGGGCAGTTGTGGTGGACAATGATGATCGTCTTGATGGTGGTGGTAGCCATGGATAATAACGGTGATGGTAGTGGTGAATTTTGGGTGACGATAGTGATAGTGATAGCCATGAGTAACGAAGGTGAAGGTGGTAGTGGTGGGGGTGGGTGGGCAACGGTAATGATGGTTGGTAATGGTGGTGGTGGGTGATGACTGGTGGCGAGTTGTGGTGGTGATAGGTGTGGTGGAGGTGGTTGACAGTTGGCGACGACAGTGGTGGGCAATGACGAGTGCTGGTGGTGGGCGACAGTGCTGGTGGGATGATGGTGGTAGTGGTAATAAATATAAAAATGAGATGATGATAGTGGTAGACAATGACGACGGTGGTGGTAATAATGGGGTGGTTATAGTGGTGGCGAGGTGGTGACAGTGGTGGCAGGATGGTGATAGTGGTGGTGGGGTAGTGACAACGGTGATGGTAGTGGTGGTGGTGAAGTGTTTTGTAGAGAAGTGATTTTAAAAAAATAAAATTTTTATTTTTTTTAACTCTTACTTATTTATTTAAGCGGTAACATTAATTTTGATTTATTTGGAAGTAATTAAATTAAGTTATTCCAAGTACCACTTATTTTTTTTAAAATACTTATGAGGTGTTATAAGTCTTAAAAATACTCTTAAAAAATCACTTTAAACACAACTATAAGGGATATATTTTCTCTATTAAATTTAAGAAATTAATAGTAGCCGTCGAATTACCTTTAAAATAAAATTTTAAATAATCTGAACCGTGAAAAACAAAATTATTTTTAATGTTATACTTTATTATATAGATTTGTGATCTTTTTATCCTAACATTATCTTCGAATCAATTAATAGGTAGAATAAACTTGGAACAAATTTTTATGCCAATCGACAAACCCCTTCATTAACATTGCAGTTTATTTGCAGTTCCATTTTGGTAAATGGTTATTCATCGGAGTATTTTCAAACCAGCATATATTGGCGACATGGGGGCATATGTCTCTATCCACCATTGGACCCGAAAGTGATCCCTCAGTGTTCTAATTTTAGGACACTATCAATAATTCGTGTTTGAAATTACTTTATAATATAAAAATTGAGCATTAATCTATAATATTAATATTTTAAAGAGTAATTTATTTTTAAAAAATTATGCAATTTAAAATTAAAGCGAGTACAGAAAAAATAAGAGAGAAGTATGGAAGAGAGAAAATGGGTATGTATAGCATAATAGAGTTATTTGGCATTGAAGAGTATGCTGGTGAAGTTGTCTGATATTAGGGCCGTATAAAAAAGATATTGCAATGAAAAAAATTTGGATAAATTTTGTATCATTGGATCAAAGTAAATTAAAATTGGATTAATCTTAACTCTTATTGTTCTTTTATAAGTTGAGAATTCAACTTCCTAGCTATAAGGGGCTGTTTGGTATGTGAATTTGGGAGGGGTTTGGATTGTGAATTGGAGAATAAATCCCTTAAATCCATATTTGGTAACCCATATTTAGCCTAGGATTTGGAAACCTAGCCCGTTGGATGGCCTGGTCATGAAATGAACATATTTAGGTTTCATGAAACCTAAGGGATAGAGAGGTGGTTTCATATGTGGGTTAAAAAGTTTAACATACAAATGACATTTATACTCCATATATCATATATACAAATTAGTTAAAAGGCAAAATAGTTATTTAAATACAAATATATTATTATAATAATTATATATCCCTGGATATACCAAACATGAGTATGGACAATATTGAATGTTAAATCTTATCTTTGAGTCAAACTCGAATTTGGACAAATCAATCCAAACTCCTCTAAAAAAACATATCAAATACGCCACAAGTGTACTTCCTATGTGTAAAGCGAAAATGTAGTATCACAGTTGTACTTTGAAATCCAATCCTTATTAATTTATAAGAATTTAATTCAGTATAATTATTAGATTAGTTGTAAGTATTAATTTTAAGTAAAATTTACAATAAATTCAATGATTCCATTGAATTATTATATATCATAATATTATTTGACGAGACCATCACATTGCTGAGTGGTGGAGCTTCTCGCATTGTTCCTGTCAGCAAGTTAATGACAATGAAACATCAAAATAAATAAAATAAAGGTTCCTGACAATGAAACCTCTGCCAAAGCTAAGTGCAGCCCATTGCTTGGTTCAACCGGATGATTAGAATCGTAGGATTCAACTTCACTGGCAAAGCTAACCGTAGGATTCAACTCCACCCCACTCCAAGGGATGCTTTAATAAAATTGCTGAGGTTTGGTCCACTTGCCATCTCCCATACAAAAAATAAAAATAGATCAGAAGTCCCATTGACGGGGGATGCTAGCGGAAGACCATTGACGAGATGTTAGTGGAAGACCTACGAATTTTGTTAATCTTTTTCTATTTTGGTTTGTTTGAATGTTTTTGCTTGATATATATTTTTATTTTATTTGGGGTCTGAACTAAGTGTATGATAATTATCTGTTTAGTCTAATCCATATAGGAGGCTATGGTTATTTTATGACTTTTGACATGGGTGATTTCTAGAGGGAATAAGAAATTGGAATAGCTAAAAATAATCTATAATCTAAAATTTTTTCTTTGAACTTGGTGCATTAGTTTTGTCTAAGAAATAGCAAGCCACACTAATGAAGATAGAAATAACTATTGAAAAATTCGTGTTAATTGAGTTGGGGACACGTGTCGACCTCCAACCTCCTACCGACTCAAAAAAATGTCCCACCAGAGCACATACAATTTTCATCTCACCGTCTACTTTGACCATTAAACTGATCGATAGAGAACCTACACACTACATACCATAAAATTTATTGTCCATGTACATACACACAAATATCATGAAAGCTTACTTAGAAAGCAAACTTAAAGCATCCTGGTCGTTAATTCAAAAGTGACGCGTGTACGCTCACGATTAAAGAGCCCTGTCGACATAAAGCTGCCTTCTGTTGAGCTGGGGTTTCATTTACTGCAGTCGAATTGGTGTCAAAATATGACTAGCGGAAGTAGCCGGAGTGGAGGAAGAAAAAGTACCGTCGGTGGTCGTGATGTATCGAAAGTGAAAGTGAACGTGGAGACTGTGCGTCCTCCTTGTCCAGCACGTCGGCAGATCATTGTTCCACGCCCTCGAGAAGTGGTCAACGTTACGAAGGTGGTAAATGTTACGAACGTTGTCAATAACATCGTCGTGGTGAGGCCTAAACCTAAGCCTAAGGCTAAGACTAAGCCTAAGCCTAAGCCTAAGACTAATTCTACACGAGTGGTGAAGCCTAAGCCTAAGCCAACACGAGTGGTGGAGCCTAAGACGACGCGGCCCACGGCGGCTACATCGTCAAGTCATGGTGGTGGAAATATATGTTGGTATGAATATGCCAACATATACCAGGAGGATGGTATGAATATACCAGGAGGATCGTCTTCCGGTGGCGGCGGCGGTGGTGGTGAACATTGGTGTTATAATGCATTTGAAGAACGGGTATGGATGTTCTAGGCTTGCTTGCTCACTGCACTTGATCTTGCCAAAAGGACGAACCTCGCCTCTCTCTCTCTCTCTCTCTCCCTCCTTGTGTCCCCCATTTTCCTATGTTCCTTTCTTTTACTTGTTTATGTTATGTTTGTATTTACTTCTGTATTATATTATCTTTAGAGTTTGTGTCCAATTGTATTCCTTGTAATAGACTATATGTGTTGTTAAGGTGAATGAATGGTACAAGTATTCTCTCTCTGCCCTAAAAAAAATTGTGTGGTTTGATCCGGAGGAGATGTTGTAATTGCTTCAAGAACTGTAATGAATATCATATTAATTAGTACTGATTTTTATGTAATCCTCAATGGTGTACCACAAAAGCAAGGCTTTAATCATTTTATCAAATGGTGTTTATTAATATAAAAAAGCACTTCTTTTGGGTGCTGATTATTGTGCCCATATAGAAAATGAAAAAATTCTCATTTGAATAACTTGTAATGGTTGGTTCGGATGACAATTTTAGTAGTTAATCCATAATGTTTTTTTTTGATTTATATACCGTGTAAAAAGCTTTCACTAATGATTCAAAGAATGAAAGATATATGCTTTAGGTTTTGCTTTTACTTTTTGGCTTAAACGGTAAACCAAGGGGTTTACTTTTTGGCTTCATCGGTAAACTAGTGGGTTCACTTTACACTTGTATTCAACTCTCTCTCTCTCTCTCTCTCGTGGTGATAACGATCAGTCTGCCTAGGGTTTCTTTCTGTGCGCATGAACAGTATAATTTGCATTATTGAGACTAACTTTTCTCCTTTTGTCACATCAAACGTCATATCTTTGTACTAGGGTCTACCCATAATATCGAAAGGTAATTGAGACAATTGATCTAATATTTTCCCATTTTTTAACCGTTTAAAAAGTTGAATATTAATTACCTGCTAAACCATAAATAAAATTAGAATAGGATTTAATAAAAAATTTCATACCAAAAGAGTGATAACATAACAAATAAATGCGGTAAATTGACCCCCAGAAAGTTGTAACTTCCACAAAAGTCAAAAATTTATTCAAAAAAATTATAACTCAATTAAAAAAAATTAAAATATCAAGCAAAACGTATAAACTAATGCATAAAAATTAGAACTCTATCTCCAAAAATTTAAAAATTACCCCCAAAAAATATAACCTCACCCTAAAAAGTTAAACTTCACCCCCAAAATGTTATAACTCAATCTAAAATAGTTGAAATCTCACAAAAAAATTTATAATCTACCTAATTCGTAAAAGTTGAAAGTCACTCAAAAAATTGCAATTCAATCCAAAAAAGTTATATCTCTATCCAAAGAGTTGAAACTCTTCCTCCCAACAGTTAGAACTCATCTCAAAAAATTATAACTAAATTCTAAAAAATTGAAATCTCACCCCTAAAAAGTATAAGCACATGCATAAAAGTTGAAACTCTATCTCCAAAAAATTAGAACACACCCCCCAAAAAATATAACACAATCCTAAAAAGTTAAATCTCATCCACAAAGGTTATAACCCAATCCAAAATAATTGAAATCTCACAAAAAAAGTTGTTATCTAACTAATCCGTAAAAGTTGAAAGTCACATCAAAAATTAGAATCCAATCCAAAAAATTTATACCCAAACCTAAAGAGTTAGAATCTCTCCCCAACAGTTAAAACACACCACAAAGTTATAACATAATTAAAAAAAGTTGAAACCTTACCCCTAAAAAGTATAAACTAATGCATAAAAGTTGAAACTCTATTCTCAAAAAGTTAGAACCCACCCCCAAAAATATATAATCCAACATTAAAAAGTTAAACCTCACCCCAAAAGGTTATAACNCTGTGCGCATGAACAGTATAATTTGCATTATTGAGACTAACTTTTCTCCTTTTGTCACATCAAACGTCATATCTTTGTACTAGGGTCTACCCATAATATCGAAAGGTAATTGAGACAATTGATCTAATATTTTCCCATTTTTTAACCGTTTAAAAAGTTGAATATTAATTACCTGCTAAACCATAAATAAAATTAGAATAGGATTTAATAAAAAATTTCATACCAAAAGAGTGATAACATAACAAATAAATGCGGTAAATTGACCCCCAGAAAGTTGTAACTTCCACAAAAGTCAAAAATTTATTCAAAAAAATTATAACTCAATTAAAAAAAATTAAAATATCAAGCAAAACGTATAAACTAATGCATAAAAATTAGAACTCTATCTCCAAAAATTTAAAAATTACCCCCAAAAAATATAACCTCACCCTAAAAAGTTAAACTTCACCCCCAAAATGTTATAACTCAATCTAAAATAGTTGAAATCTCACAAAAAAATTTATAATCTACCTAATTCGTAAAAGTTGAAAGTCACTCAAAAAATTGCAATTCAATCCAAAAAAGTTATATCTCTATCCAAAGAGTTGAAACTCTTCCTCCCAACAGTTAGAACTCATCTCAAAAAATTATAACTAAATTCTAAAAAATTGAAATCTCACCCCTAAAAAGTATAAGCACATGCATAAAAGTTGAAACTCTATCTCCAAAAAATTAGAACACACCCCCCAAAAAATATAACACAATCCTAAAAAGTTAAATCTCATCCACAAAGGTTATAACCCAATCCAAAATAATTGAAATCTCACAAAAAAAGTTGTTATCTAACTAATCCGTAAAAGTTGAAAGTCACATCAAAAATTAGAATCCAATCCAAAAAATTTATACCCAAACCTAAAGAGTTAGAATCTCTCCCCAACAGTTAAAACACACCACAAAGTTATAACATAATTAAAAAAAGTTGAAACCTTACCCCTAAAAAGTATAAACTAATGCATAAAAGTTGAAACTCTATTCTCAAAAAGTTAGAACCCACCCCCAAAAATATATAATCCAACATTAAAAAGTTAAACCTCACCCCAAAAGGTTATAACCTAATCTACAATAGTTAAAATCTCACTGAAAAAGTTGTAATCTAGCTAATCCGTAAAAGTTGAAAGTCACCGTAAAAAATTTGAACCCAATCCAAAAAAGTTATACTCTTACCCAAAGAGTTGGAAGCTCTCCCCCAACAGTTCGTACACACCCCCAAAATTTATAACTTAATTCAAAAAAATTAAAACTTCATCCAAAAGGTATAAATTAATGGACAAAAGTTGAAACTATATCCTCAAAAAGTTAAAACGCACCCCTAAAACAACGTAATCCAATCTTAAAAAGTTAAACCTCACCCCAAAAGGTAATATTACCCAATCCAAAATAGTTGAAATTTCATCAAAAAAAAGTGTAATCTAGCTAATTCGTAAAAGTTGAAAATCACCCCAAAAATTGAAACTCAATCCAAAAAAGTTATACCCTAACCAAAAAGAGTTGGAATCCTTCCCCCAACAGTTAGAACACAACCCAAAAAGTTAAAACACAATTCAAAAAAGTTGAAACTTTACCCCCAAAAAGCATAAACTAATGCATAAAAATAGAAACTTTATCCCCAAAAAGTTAGAACCCACCCCCCAAAAAATATAATCCAAACCAAAAAAGTTAAACCTTACCCCTAAAAGATTATAACCTAATCCAAAATAGTTGAAATCTCACTAAAAAAGTTGTAATCTAGTTAATCCGTAAAAGTTGAAAGTCACACCAAAAATTGGAATCCAATCCAAAAAGTTATACCCTGTCTCCAAAGACTTGGAACTCCTCCACCCAACAGTTAGAACTCATCCCAAAAAGTTACAACCCAAATTTAAAAAGTTGAAACCTCACCCCCAAAAAGTATAAATTAATGCATAAAAGCTAAAACTCTATCTCCAAAAAGTTAGAACCCACCCCCCATAAAATATAATTCAATCCTAAAAACTTAAACCTCACCCCAAAAGGTTATAACACAATCCAAAATAGTTGAAATCTCACCAAAAAAATTGTAATCTAGTTAATCTATAAAAGTTAAAAGTCACTTCAAAAATTGGAACCCAATCCAAAAAAGTTATAACCTTACCCAAAGAGTTGGAACCTCTCCCACCAACAGTTAGAACACACCCCCAAAAAGTTATAATCTAATTAAAAAAAGTTGAAACCTCATCCCTAAAAAGTATAAACAAATGCATAAAAGTTGAAACTCTATCCTCAAAAAGTTAGAACCCACCCCTAAAACAATATAATCTAATTCTAAAAAGTAAAAGCTCACCCCAAAAGGTTATAATTCAATCCAAAATAGTTGAAATCACACCAACAAAGTTGTAATCTAGCTAATCTGTAAAAGTTGAAAGTTACCCCAAAACTTGGAGCCCAATTCAAAAAACTTTTATCCCTACCCAAAGAGTTGGAACCCTTCTCCCAACAATTAGAACACCCCCCAAAAAGTATAAACTAAAAGTTGAAACTCTCACCCCAAAAAGTTAGAACCTACCCCCAAAAAATATAATCCAACCCTAAAAAGTTAAATCTCACTCCAAAAGGTTATAATCCAATCCAAAATATTTGAAATCTCATAAAAAAATTTGTAATCTATTTAACTCATAAAAATTGAAAGTCACCCCAAAAATTGGAGCCCAATCCAAAAAAGTTATATCTTCCCCTAACAATTAGAATCCACCCCAAAAAGTTATAACCCAATTAAAAAAAGTTGAATCCTCACCCTCAAAAAGTATAAACTAATGCATAAAAGTTGAAACTCTATCCCCAAAAAGTTAGAATCCACCGTCAAAAAAATATAATCCAATCCTAAAAAGTTAAACCTCACCCCAAAAGGTTATAACCCAATCCAAAATGATTACAATCTCACCAAAAAAGTTGTAATCTAGCTAATCCATAAAAGTTGAAAGTAATTCCAAAAATTGAAACTCAATCTAAAAAAATAATACCTATACCCAAAGAGTTAGAACCCCTCCTCCAACAGTTAGAACACACCCCAAAAAGTTATAACCCAATTCAAAAAAGTTAAAACCTCACCCCCAAAAAGTATAAACTAATGCACAAATGTTGAAACTCTACCCGCAAAAAGTTAGAATCCACCCCT